ATCTCTGCCACAAACCAGAACAGTACCTATAATAACTGCATCGGAAGCCTCAGCCTCAGGCCTGGCTGGAAGGGCATAACATCTGGGTTGGGCCCCACCACCCTGGACTACCTCTCTGGGACGGCCTGCGGCTGGCTGGCCTCCACCTCTAGCGGTCTGAGCTCCACCTCTAGTACCTCTACCTCCACCTCTAGCACCTCTACCCCCACCTCTAGCTGGCTGGGCGGGCTGTGGAACACTTGGTGCCTGAACCATAGCACGAGAACCCTGCTGCTGCGATTGAGTACCCACCAATCTCGGACAAGCCCTCCAGATATGACCATACTTACCACACTCATAGCATCCACCGGAGTGTTGCGGCTGAGGAAACTGAGACTGACCCCTGACCCTGGCAACCTGAATGACCAACCCAAAAACTCTGGAGCAGCGGTGCACTGATAGGAGCTGGTGGTGCACTGTAGGGCTGCTGATCAGAATACTGCACATGAGAACCACGACCGTCTGAAGCGTCGTGAGAAACTTGAAGTGCTGACTGAAAGGGCCTAGGAGGATGGCCTCTACCATACGAATCCCTGCCTCGAGACGAGGCACCACTGAATCTGCCTGAATGACGAGGCCTCTTGTCCGACCCATGACCACCCCCCTGCGACAAAACTATCTCCACTCTCCTGGCCACATTGGCCGCCTCCTGGAAAGATATCTCATACCCAGTCTCTCTAGCCATCTGAAGACGAATCGGCTGAATAAGTCCATCAATGAACCTCCTCACCCTTTCTCTCTCAGTGGGAAGTATAATAAGAGCATGACGAGCCAAGTCGATGAATCTGGTCTCATACTGAGTAACAGTCATAGAACCCTGCTGGAGACGCTCAAACTGCCTCCGATATGCCCCTCTCTGAGTGATGGGGAGAAACTTCTCCAGAAATAGCTGAGTGAACTGCTCCCAAGTCAAAGCTGGTGATCTGGCTGGTCTAGCCAAGCAATAATCTCTCCACCAAGTCTTGGCGGATCCAGATAAGCGAAAAGTGGCAAAGTCGACCCCATTAGTCTCAACTATCCCCATGTTCCTAAGAAACTCGTGATAGCTGTCTAGATAATCCTGGGGATCCTCAGTAGATGCACCGCTGAAAGTAGTAGTAAAGAGCTTGGTGAACCTGTCCAACCTCCACAAAGCATCGGCAGACATAGCTACTCCATCTCCGGTCTGAGCTACCACATCCGGCTGAACTGCTCCAACTGGCTGAACCGCTGGAGTCTGAAACTGGGGAGCCATCTGCTCCGGAGTGCGAGTAGCAGGAGTCTGGGCTCCTCCTCCAACCTGAGAGACGGCTGGTTCTACAGGAAGCAAGCCTGCCCGGGTGACACTCTCCATAAGGCCCACTAGACGGACCAGAGCATCCTGGAGTACCGGAGTAGCAATAAACCCCTCTGGGACCTGAGCTGGGCCCACCGGAACTGCCTGGGCCGGAACCTCATCATCAACGTCAACCTGAGGCTCCGCCGCTGGTGCTGCTGCTCTGGGCTGAGCTCTGCCCCTGCCTCGGCCTCTAGCACAGCCTCGGCCTCGCCCTCTGCCCCTCGTGGGAGCTGCTGCTGGGGGCTCGCGCTGATGATCGGTGGATGAGGAAGCGCGTGTTCTCGCCATCTGCGAAAGAACAGAGTTAAAATTCAATTAGCATTGAGAAACCAAATCGCACGACAAGGAGGAATAAATGTAAAGTGTTTCCTAACTCTGTAGCCTCTGAGGATAAATATAGACATCTCCGTACTGATCCCTTAGACTCTACTAAGCTTGTGCGTGAATTGTGAGACCTATGTAACCTAGAGCTCTGATACCAACTTGTCACGACCCGGATTTTCCACCCTCAGGAGTCGTGATGGCGCCTACTCGTAGAAGCTAGGCAAGCCGCGAAATATAGAAATCACTAACTCTTATATTTTAATCCTTTTTAACAACTTAGATTAACAGGTTATCAACATTGAATATTAACGATAAACAGAACAAGCGGAAGACTTAAACAGACAAAATAACCAAAGCCAGTACTACAATGCCAATATACTCCTCTACCCGGAATCTGGTGTCACAATATCACAAACTGTCTATGAGTACCACATATAAGTGTTTGAAAAAGGAAATACAGTCTGTCTCGGAAACAAGTGAAAACAGAACACATAGTAAGATAGAAGAGAACGTCGGGCATGCGGACGCCTGCAGGACTACCTCGGGATCTCTAGCTGGACTGAAGGCAGCCTCTCCAAGTGCTACTGTCCAAAAGCTGCTCCGGGATCTGCACATAGTGCAGAGTATAGCATCAGCACAACCGACCCCATATGCTGGTAAGTGCCTGGCCTAACCCCGGCGAAGTAGTGACGAGGCTAGGACCAAACTCCAGATAAACCTGTGCAGTTATATAATATACAGCGGAAAATAAAATAAAAATGAACAAATAAAGATGGGAGGGGGTACATGTTGCGGGGAAAATACCAAGTCCAGCAGGAACTCAAGAGAAATATGAGAGAACAATTAAAAATTCTATAATAAAACATTAATAATATTGTTGTGGCGCGCAACCCGATCCCTTATCATTTAACACTGTTGCGGCGTGCAACTCGATCCATTTATATCACTGTTGCGGCGTGCAACCCGATCCAATATAATATTGTTGCGGCATGCAACCCGATCCATATTTAGTATTGTTGCGGCGTGCAACCCGATCCATATATTTATATACTTTTAGCAACAACCATACCAAGAGTCCCGGCAATGGATCAACGATAAACTACACTATCCCGGCAAGGGATTCGATAGTAAAAGTAAATACGCCCCGGCAAGGGAGAATCAGCTATAACCAATCTTAGCTCAACTTCTACTCATCTCAGCTAACACCAATACTCAATCATAAGTAATTTCCACGAAAATAAACTTAATCCTTGCTCAATATCGAGAATCATCAATTAAAGCATCCGTAGTATCATTTAAGATCACAACAAATTGCAATTAAGACTCACGGTCATGCTCGGCACCAACGTATAGATACTCGTCACCATGCCTATACGTCGTACTCAACAAGAAGCAAATAGCAAATAGGACATAACTCATAATCCCTCAAGCTAAGGTTAGACCGAACACTTACCTCGCACTTCAACGGCCAACTCAAACCTCAAACACCGCTTTCCCTTTCGAATTTGGCTCCAAATCAATCGTACCTAGACATAATCGACTTAATAACATCAATAAACGCCAAGTGTAGCAACATGGATTCATTGCCAAGCTTGGAATGGCAAGCCCTTCCAACTTGAAGGGGGGTGTTGGAGCTAAACATTGTAATGAGCCCGGTTAACAGGCCCATCTTATATTTAGGCCCAAGTGTAATTTAAGATACTAGGCCCAAATTGTATATATTAGTTAGTCTATGTGTATTATGAGGTAGACGAATATTTTGTATCGAAAAACATTCTTTTCTATAAGACAAATCCTTCTAGATCTTCTCTCTCTACTCTTGTTGCCAAATTAGGGTTCTTCAATCCATGGCTTCCATACGATAAATCTGAGTATTAACAATATTTCCCTTTGAAATTTTGATCGTGTGGTTGTAGTTGTATTTAGCACTTCTATTGGACATGAAATTTTAAAATCAAATAAAGACTTTTAATTTGTGATCTAAAACGAGCAATAAATATTTGTGTGGCTATATTATTTATAAACATAAGAAAATATCATTATCTTTTTAGGTAAACTAAAAATACAAGTACATCAGATATATTGAGACACGAAGTATTAGAAAGCATAATGAATATTTCTAGATATTATTTCACAGAAGTTCCAAATCACATGTCAACAATCCTAAGCTCACATACATAGGAAAAACAATATATAAACTAAAAAAGAAAAACTAAATTTTTATATCAATATTGTTGATTTAGTTTGGTTTCCGTCAAATTTTCATATGTTCAAGCAAATCAAACCAAATATTCTTAGTTTTTTTTGTTAATATCACCAAAACTATACTAAATCAAAGTACAGATACATTTTTTCGTTTGGTTTGATTTTTCCATTTTTCTTGAACACTTACACCGCTAGCTCCTACCATCCAAATTTGAATTGCATACAGCAACTACTAATATATAGTTTCATCCAAAAATTTAGAACAATACAGTATTTTCCATTTGCCTTTAAAGCAAATTATATTACAAAAATTAATCACTGAAAAAAATATAATTTTAAAAGCAGAACAATTATACAGCTAATTGAATATCCCCAATTTCAATTTGAGCAGCAATATCCTCAAGTTGTTTCTTCACACTCATATCAATCAACTTTGATCCTGAACTTCCATACCTTATTGTAAATCCAGCTACTAGCGATTCATCAATAGCCGTTTTAATCCTCACGTTTTTCGAACCTGTCAATCGCTGTACTCCTTTCGCGATCTGAGCCAAATGCTGCGATTCCAATTTCACAACAGAAGTGACCACAGCAAGTTCCGTGTCCGTTATCGTATTGTATACTTTCTCGAACTCCTTTACAATTTCTTTGATTAGCTCCACGCGCTTCATGTCTACTAAAATGTTGAGGAAATTCGCTACGTGCGGCTGGATGCTCGAGGATGAAACGATCTCGTCCACTATTTCGCGTTTCTTCTCTTCGCTGACGATTGGACTCACGAAGAATTTGAACACTGCTTCGTCGTCGAAGATTTTTTCAAGTTTTTCGAGGTCGGCCGTTGTTTCTTCCAGGGTTCCGTTCGACTTGGCGACGTCGGCGAGTGCGTTCGCGTAAGTTCCGGCAGCGGAAGCCGCCATTTGTGCTCCGGCAGCACCGCCTCCGCGGCGGGAGGTGCGATTAGAGCGGAGCTTGATGGTGAGTTTCGGGAGCTTGAGGCCGCCGGAAAAGGAGAGATTCGCCGTCGGTCCGGTGATGATTTGAGTCGGCGGCGGTGACCTGGACTGGAAAGCTATCGGAGTTTGTTGTAGTGCCGCCATTGATCTCGTTTATGCGCTAGGAGAGAGAGAGAAGAGAGAGAGCGGAGGGTACTGATTTTGAGAGTGAGAAAAAGAGAAAAGAGATTATGGAGGGAAATGGACGGTGGGGATTATGGGGGAAGTAGTGATCTACGGTGATGAAGGGATAAGATTATCCTATATTACCGGTGAAGGATGGCCTCTTATCTGATGATCTATGGGGATACGGAGTTGACACGTGCGTACTTCACATTTGATATCATTGCTTTCTTTTTGAGCTAAAGGGAAGGACCAATTTGGTTAAAATATCATCGTATAGCCAGTTTTCACACTGTTCAATGAAAAATAGCCAGTGTTTATCAAGTCAATAAAAAATAGCCACTATTTTGCTGCAACAGGGACCGGTCCAGTATAATATACGGGAGTTCTGGTGCATTTGTGTACGAACTCCAGCATATTATGCTGGACCGGTATACTTTGCTAACTCCTGTAAAATTTGCGGGAGACTGGAGCACCAGTGCTCCAAACTCCAGTATATTATACTGGACAATTATACTTGCTGGAACTCCCGTAAAATTTGCGGGCGTATTTTTCCGGATTTTGAACAGTGTTTTCGCTCAGATTTAAAGTGGCTAAATTTTGATGACTTTTGAAACTTGGCTATTTTTCAACGACCAGTGGTAAATCTGGCTATTTACTTGTTATTTTCGATTATTATTATTTTGTTGTTATAAATAGAATTTTATTTATGGTGAATGTCTATATTTAGAGAGATTTTAGGGTTTATTACTTGGTGGCTAAGTCACCCTCTCCCTATAAATAGAGGGTTCTATTCTATTGTAAATCATCCCAAATCAATAAGAATTCTCTCCCTCTACTTTTCTCTGCAATACTCTTCTTCTTCTTTTATTGTTTTATAGCATGTTATCAGCACGAGACTCTAACCAATTGAGTAGAAGATTTGGGATTGAGCATAATGATTGTTAATTATTCCATGAACTTCCTTCATGATCAAATTCTGGATTTAAGGTAAGTATTTTACCGTATTTTTCTCTTTTATTCTATCTTTGATTTTAAATACAAGCAAAGACAACAAAGTTTGATTATAACTCTAATGTAGTTTGTAAGAAATTATAACCACCTGAAGTGGTAAAATTTCTATGCCTCGCCATGATCAAATTCATATATGATTGTGGGCAAAGAATTGAAAACCCGTCCCATTGAATTTGCTCCATTCTCATTCCCTTAAGAGAATGTATAGCAGTATGTGATAAGTCTGAAAGAAGACAACATTATTACTATGAATGTATCAATGGATATGGACGAGGCAATAGATGAAATTATAATCGTCATCTTTTGTGGTAATGAGAACAATAAGGATTCTCAAAATAATCTTTCACTCTGTGAAAAATATTTGCCATCGATTTGACATGAGATTTTGTAAAGCACATATAGATGATTATGGTCCATTCATGATGTGAATGTGACAACATCTGATTTATGAATACATATTCATTCTTCAAAGAATATGAACGTGCTAGTGGTAGTGAATATATCGCACTCACCTCTAAAAGGAGGTTTGATATGATATAAGAAAATAATGTCATTATTATGGCATGAATGGTCATTGGTCACGTACCTATTGTACGCCAAAATATTTTGGCATTGTGATTGTTAAAAGACAACGGTAATGCAAGAAACAGATCTTGCATATAATTTTGACCATAACCATAATGGTATAACTTTCTCTTTAAAAGAGATATTCACCATATGGGTGTTGATGAATATGTGGTACTACAAAATTAATTGAGAAATCTGCAAGAGCCAATTATACTATTTTGGAGAAACACAATTAATTACCAACAAGGTATTGTGTTGTAGTAAGTCTCAAAGAAACTTATTCAGTTTCCAAAGTATACGCGAAAGCGGTTGATTATATTGAGACTATAAATAAAGGAAAGATTTAATATCTTCTATTACTACAACTTTTAGCGGGGTAATATTTATGTGAAAAGCTACCCGTTTTATTCTCCAATTTGTACTACATAAACAAAAGAATACCACAATGATGTTGATATTTATTGATATAAAAACTCATATCATAATAAACTTGGAGTTTATTCATAATTGCAAACATCATGGTGTAAACCTGAAGTTTATCAATATTGCTAATTTATCCAGTTGGCATAACTGGTTTAGCCATATTAATTAAATATTAAAGAACTAGAAAGTTCTTTACGAATTCTCTTATATTGTTTGTTCTCATTAATTAATAGACCAATTAAAATTGGGATTGAATCTCATGAATGCTAGAAATATCAAAGGTGAATATGGGCCCGTTCACCTGCCATGTATACCACATAAGATGCATCTATGAGATGGTTACATGTGCAATTATTATTGACCCGCAACCTGGTGTTTGCGAGGTAACTTGCTCAATAATTTAATATAGAGCATAATTTCCAGATTTTTCATTCAAGATAGTTCTTCTTGATAAGTTGGTTTACATCACAGTTGGTTTAGCAAAATGATTTATTGAGTGCCTCCACTTAATAGCTAAACTATTGCTTATGAGAACAAAGTTATCTATATCAGTTTGATATAGGTTATATACGAAAGTATATTACATTCTCCCCTCACAAGTGGTTTCAGGGTCAGGAACCAAATAATTCTATCTCATTATTATTGATGTGCGGTGTATATTTTGATTAACACCATAACGCAAAAAGATGGGTTCTCAAAGTTGAGGAAACAAGTTAGTTTTTCTAACATGAGGGGGAGACAAGATACAACAGTTGAAAAAAAGTTACATGGAATGAATTATCATTTATACATCTAGATCCCCGAATAAAATAATATGAACTTGAAGTTCATAAAAGGATAATTCATGTGCAATTTATTGCAGCATGCCAGACGCATTTGCTGACCTAAAGAACGTAACTATATCCTCATTGCAAATGCTCCTATTAGAATAAGTCCTAGAAGGATAAAGTCTATAGTACGCTTAAAGCATATAGACAAATCGGTTTCAAATAAACTTCTTGATAAAGAAGATGAGCAAATGATCAAAATGATCATAATAAAGGAGGCAAGTGATCTAGAAGATCACATGACATAACACTTCATAAAAGCTCAAGAGAGATTCAGGTACCTAAAAATATGAATGAAGAGATCTCTATGTTATTTCTTTATGAAAAAATATTGAAACTGATATAAAATGTTTGTCGACGACATCTATGATAGCGCTAAATATATATATGAGGATCTTAAGTCTGAAGAAACAATTCAAATAGAATTGGTTTCATATGAAAGCCATGTAGTTTTGAACATGTAGTTCAAATACTTGAAAGTATAAAGTCAATGATATGTGCAATCATTTTTCGTTATCTTATATGTCTAGCATGACATGAAAACTTGGTATGCATCTAAGGTCTATTATATGGCTTATATGACTTAACAATCCCTGAATGATTTAAATTGCTTAAAGCGTATAGAATTCATGGTCATGAAGTACTACATCCTCAATTCAATTTGTGCACAAATGTATCTTGCTATAACTATATGCATGATAATATGATAGCAAGAGTTTTCACCTCTATGTGAAGATATTGAACTGACGATTCCAACAAAATCATATGAAGACAATCCATCTCTATCAAGAATGATGATTTCAAGGTGCAATATATTCATTCAAGTCAATATAGCTGATTTGTTTATCAAATATCTACCAAAGATCTTTTGAAGATGGTGCACAAGATTGGAATGCAAATGCTTAAGGATGTGAAGTGATGCTTTCATGAGGGGGAGTTAATACGCGTTGTACTCTTTTTCCCTTACAAGATTTTGTCCCACTGGGTTTTCCTTGCAAGGTTTTTAACGAGGCAACCAAAAGGCGTATTATTAGATATGTGTACTCTTTTTCCTTCTCCAGAATTTTTTTCCCACTGGGTTTTTATTTTAGTTAAGGTTTTAATGAGGCACATTATCTGTTGAATAGACATTCAAGGGGGAGTGTTATAAATAAAATTTTATTTATGGTGAATGTCTATATTTAGAGAGATTCTATGGTTTATTACTTAGTGGCTAAGTCACCCCCTCCCTATAAATAGAGGGTCTATTCCATTGTAATTCATGCCAAATCAATAAGAATTCTCTCCCTCTACTTTTCTCTGCAATACTCTTCTTCTTCTTTAATTGTTTTATAGCACAAACAATTTAATAATGAAGATTAATAGTCAAAGGCAGGCCTGCTCTAATGTGTTGAGCTGTAAGGCTTGTGCCTAGGCCCCCAAATTATGGGGCCCATTTTAAAAAAATAATAGGTCTATAGGTATTTAAAAAAGGGAAATTTTTGTTCCTATACCATATAGGAAACTATATTACCAAATATGTTCATAGTTTGCATATTACCCTTCATGCTAATAATATTCCTACAAAATATAGACAATGCATTAAATAAGGAATCATTGTAGCTGTAGGATTCCTTATTTAGGCGCGTCTAAAATNATTCCTTATTTAGGCGCGCTAAAATTGGGGAATTAAATATTCTTCAAGATCTTCCACAACGCAAATCACGCACATTCATAATTATCGTTGGCTTCGTTTCAAATTTTCCATACTCTGTTTTTGCGATACATTCTGTTTCCAGAATTCTCTCTACATCTCTCTCGATCTCTCAATCCCAAATTTCAGTAATACAAGCAAAGGAAAAGAGAGCAGCAATTCTACCATTGGCAGCCATTAAAAAGCTTTGAAGCTTTGAATTCAAATTTGGGTTTTCAAAAATCATTATTTGGATTGGGTGTTATTGAAAATAATTGAGAATATGGTTTAGAGTTTATATCTCAATTTTGAGGGGTTTTTGTGAAGATTAGACTTGGTTTTGACTGAATTTCAGATTGAAACTCGAAGAAGAAGAAGAAGAAGAAGAAGAAGAAGAAGAAGAAGAAGAAGAAGAAGAAGAAAAAGAAGAAGAAGAAGAGGAAGAAGAAGAAGAAGAAGAAGAAGAAGAAGAAGACATGACATACATTATATTACAGAAATTGTAGAAAAATTGTAGAAAAATTGTAGACTGTTGTTTATTTATTTTTCTT